GTTCTGTAAGATTACAGCCTTAGAAACCCTGGTTCTCTGTCTGTAGGGTCGTTATGAGTTGAAATTGACTTGATAGCAATGAATTATAGGTATTTTTGTTAGACTTCCTAAATAGTAGTTATGAAAGGGAGATGTTGAACCTTTCAGGAGTTCCATTGACTTTTGGAAGACAAGTTTGGTCATATGTTAATGGTAGATAAAGGGCTGCTTTTAAACCTGACACTTAAATCTTAGCTCAGAAAAGTAGACACAGTCTGTATTAAGGGATTTTTCAACGTTCTTGTTGTTATGTGCCGTCGAGTCGGCCCCGACTCATAGCGACCCCTCCTTGGGTTTCCGAGGCAGTATCACTACGGAAGTAGGATTGCCCAGCCTTCCTTCCGAGGAGTGGCTGGTGGGTTTGAACCACCAGCCGTCTGGTTAGCAGGCAAGTGTCTTAGCCACTGTGCTACCAGAGCTCCTTTTTTCAACGTTACGAACCTTACATAATTTAGCTCTTAAAGACTGTCTTGGGCAATAGAGAACACAATAGTCATTGACACTTTGAATTTCATTTTTTCAGGATGCAAGCATTTAAAATATAGGTGGTTTTGAAATCTAGATGGTTTACTAGATGAGGATGTATTTTTTCAGTGGCTAGCCCCCTGCATCCATCCTATCCCATTATCAGTGTAATCAAGGAAGTTACTTAGAGATCATATCATAGAATTGTGTATTGATAAGTTGATCCAGTCCCTAGAAACCAGATTATCCCTTTCCCACACATAACCAAAAAAAAAAAAACCAAACTTACTGCCTTTGAGTTGATTCAACTCATAGCGACCATTCCTTGGGTTTCCAAGAAGGTATCTCTACAGAAGTAGATTGCCCAATCTTCCTTCTAAGGAATAGCTAGTGGGTTTGAACCACCAGCCTTCTGATTAGCAGTCAGATGCCTTAGACACTATGCTACCAGAACTGTGAGTTGTCATTACCCTTATTTCCTTGAATGAGATACAATGATTTTATACCTTAAAACATTTTTATTTTAACATAAACACTTAGTTAATTTGGCTGTCTTGGATATGGGGCCAAGAACTTTGAATACTATGGATTATTGGTAATCCTCTTTTTTTAAACAAAATACAAAGGTAAAATCTGATTGGTAGTCGTTTAAAGAAGAGTTTGAACTTGTAAGTGCTTACAGAATCATCTTGGGTTTTTTCCAAGCCTTGTGCAGTAGTCTTATCCATACTTCCCATATTTTTCTCACATAGCACATCTACATAAATAACACGCACATACATGTAATTGGTGGAAGTGATGAAATTATGCTTAAAAAGTTTTGGCATAGTGCATCCATGCACACACCATGCATGTCTCGTGACATTTCTGGAAGTGAATTTCAGCCACATTCACGCCCATCCAATAGTCTGAGTTTGTTACTTTTGATCACGTTTGTATAATAAAGGTATAAGCCATGGTCAAGAAGTCATGGATAGAGTTTGGTAGTATTCTGGTAATCAGAAAATAAACAGCTGAAACTGAATTTGCTCTGAGACAGTTCACAGCCAGGCATGAGAGCCATGTAGTTCCTTGTAGCTAATCTGCACCCAGGTAAGGTGCTCTGGAGACAGGTGAGGGTTGGGCAGAGGGCTGCCCATGGAGTTACCACAGCCCAAGTATGCTGGTCCCACAGTGGGCAGGGGCTGTGCCCTCATGTGCCTTGGTCCCATGGTGTTGGCTCCAAGTAAAGCTATGTGGCAGGATGGTGCAGGTTTGGGCGCACACTATTCTGGCCCCACGGGGCCCTCAGGCAGCTAGTTAGACCTGCCTTACCTCAACGAGGGATGCACAACCCCGTTGTCAACCTCTCTGCCCCTGTTGCTCTCACACCTACCCCATGGTGTTTACTCTGGCAGGAGATTCAAACAGCCCCAGCGCTGTGGCCAGACAGCAGGGCAGAATGTGCACAACTGCGGCACCCTGGCCTCACCCACCTGAGTGGCCTCTCTGGCCCTGGGATGTGCAGACCCATGCATCTCCTGGGCTAGGGCCAGCAGTCCTGGTGAGGGCTTTTTCTGGGGTGGAAAAAGTCATGTATTCCTGTACTGGAGAAAATCATTTGCAGAGCAGGGAAGGAATCCTGTGGAGAGTGGAGCTACTTTGGAAGGTTGAGAATACGGTGGTGAGGGTTTGCTGTGGGGAACCAAACTTCTGCCTCAGTAGGCACCAAGACAAAGACTTGACATTAAATCCATGGGACAGGGGAACAAAAATGAAATTGAAGTAAGCAACATGTAAAAACAAAATATGTTATAGCGCACTTATAAAAATAATGAGGGTAGTTGTACATATGCAAAAATGTATAATGCATGTGTTATTTGTGTAAAATATGGTAATTTGATAGCAGTTTTTAATAGCCCATGTTTGATTAATCTTTACAAAACGTTCAGGTTAGTCTTTTTGATACTAATGGCCTCGTTTCATCCATTAAATCTCAGTAATTATAAAACAAGTGCAACTTGGCATAATTTGGGAATAAGCCTAATAATTCTTGGTAAACCAGTGCAGCTCTGTTGGCTGGGAGAGTAGAAGGGCTAGTAAGCACCGAGAGTGAGTGCTTAGGCCAGGATCTAAGGCTTTTACATTTACTACTCATTAACATGCTACAATTCTGTAAAGATACTTACTTTCTACAGATAAAGAAACTGGGGCACTGAAAGGTAACTCTTTAACCCATCATTGTGCATCAAAGCATGGTTATAATCTTCTGATATTTACTAGATTTACTTACTATGGCTGTTTAGTCTAATTTTGATACTTAAGTCCTTTTGGCTGATACTTAAGAAACCTTAAATCTAAGATTATCTTGCATTCCATTTTACCAAAATCACTATGTATGCACTTGATGGTACTTTCAGTGATAGCCATTATATTTTAGCTAAGGTTTTGTCAACTTTGTGTTAATTTATAGTGCTTTCTCTGCATTTTCCATTATCCTGACAGTTACTCACTAGGGAAAAGGAAAAAAAAATAATGCCAGAAGAATGAGGAAAGCAATGCTTAGACTGCTTCAACACTAACTGATCACTGCTCCAAGCTGTGTCTGTAGGCAAAATGTGGTTTTCTTCTATCAGATTGATGGGATTCTATGCCTGGATAGTTATTCCCTTGGAGTCCCTGGGTGGTACACATGGTTAGTGTGCTTGGCTCCTAACCAAGAGATTGGAGATTAGAGTCTCCACTGAGGCATTTGAGAAGAAGGGCCTGGGGATCTGCTTCTGAAAAATCAGCCATTGGAAACCCTTTGGAGCACAGTTCTACTCTGGCACACATTGGGTTAACATGAGTCTGAATTGAATTAATAGCAACTGGCTTAGTTATTCCCTTTTATTCCAACTCAGAGTTTGGGAAGATTTGGGGAAAGGTGGAAGTTGGAACTGTTAGCTTAGAACTTTCTAGTAGGGGAAAGTTTAGCTCCTGGCAGCTGGCTCAAGTAGGAGGGGAATCCTGTGCTGGCAATGAACTTGTAAGGCCAGCCGCTTCTCTCTGGCAGAGGATAGGGAGCTGGGCACATAGAACTGCTGGCATGTGTGTTATCCTGTGCCCGTTCTGGGGGCTAAAACTTTGCTCTGAACTTGATGCATTTTCTGGAGAATTGTTTACATTTCCTTGAAATCACGTAAGATACTAAAGTAATCTTGACCACAGTAAGATGGATGTATAATACCTGCTTCAAGGGGTTAATGTCTAGAGTATTTGTGACACATATAGTTTGAAAAAAAAAAAAAAAAAAGATTGCACATTTCAAACTTAATACTGTTCTAAATTAGGGGTCCACAGACTTTTACTGTAAAGGATAAGATAAATATTTTGGGCTTTATGGGCCATCCAGTCTCTGACACAACTACTAAGCTCCACATTGTAGCACAAACGTATTCATAGACAATAGGTACGTGAATGAGTGTGGCTGTATGCTCATAAAATGTTATTTATGGACAGTGAAATTTGAATTTCATGAAATTGAGAAACGTAAAAGTCAATCTTGACGCCCAGGCTGCACATAAACAGGTGGCAGGCCATGGTTTGCCAACCCTTGCTCTGGTTCTATAGTATAGCTACCTGTTACTGAAACTGAGTGGCCTTTGCTGTCTTCTCAGTTTTCTTACCATTTCATAGATGAGGGAACTGGCTTGGAGAAGATAACTTGCCTATAATCACACATTCTTAAATTTTGAAAGGAGTAGCTAATGAAGAATTCTGAAACTTAAGAGTAAGTGTGACCACAGACCTCAGTGTGTACAACTCTGAGATAATAAGCCAAGTCTCTGCTTCTATCCTTTCTTGGTGTCCAAGAATTAGATTGAACCTGGTAGTTTAAATGAGTTTACCAGGTACAGAATGATTTAGTAATGTTATCCTGCCTATTATTAAATTCTGATTTCAGAAAGACAGTGCTCCCCTGAGACTATGGCCCCTAGTCACCCTTCGGGCCTGGAACTGAACTCACTCCCTCAGCTAATTTTTAGCCAAACAATAGACAGGCCTGCAAGCTGAACAACTACATCAGGAAGATGCCCTCCTTAGAACAATTAGCCATGGGAGATGAGAAGGGCAGCATTTGCACGAGGAGAAAGCTAAGGAGACAGGAATGCATAGGCAGGAAGGACACAGGGAAAGGGTAACCCCAAGGAGGAAGTGAGTACATTGTAGGGATTGTAATCATTGTCATGAAACAAAATGTGTATCAACTATTGAATGTAAAACCTATCTGCTTTGCAAATGTTCACCCAAATCACAATACGAAGTTGAAAAAAGACAGACATTGCTTACAAAGGCTGTCAGTTGCTTCTTTTATGGTATAATGTGTGCTCCTAATAATTTTAACAAAATTAAAAACAAATTATTCTAGAATAGATTTACAACCTTGCACATACGGAATTGAGTTTGTGGTTCTCAGTTCAGGCTAGCTGGCCATAGCCGAGGCACAGGAGGTATAACAGTGGGTCTTCTTGCAGGTGCTGCTGGTGAGCAGCAGTCGGTATCCAGACCAGTGGATTGTCCCAGGAGGCGGCATGGAGCCCGAGGAGGAACCTGGTGGTGCTGCTGTGAGGGAGGTTTACGAAGAGGTGAGACGAGTAGTAGGTTGTTCTCCTTCCACAAACTCTGGTTTGGGATTTTATAGGAGAGCCTTCTGCCTGATGGTTACAAACAAGGCATTTTGCTCCATAACATGGAAGAGACGGCAAGAACATAGACAAGTCATGCGAGGCTTTTGTTTTGTCTGATGCACCATTTTTAAGCATGTGACTAGCTAGTATTGTCCTAAATAGGTATTTTTTTGTAATGTGGAAGGGCCTTGGAATTACCCAAGTAAGAATAGTATCACACTGAGCAGGAATACTCAGAAACATGGATCATAGGACTAAAAATCATAATTGATTTTTATTCAAGTACATGAGAAGCACATTGCTTTTATTTTACCTGCTTTGTCTTAAAGTTCATTAAAATGCAGCCCATACACATGCACAAAACCATAAATGACCTGCTTCTTTTCTTACAGTTGGTAAGTAATGGATAAAACATGCTTTTATGCACAGGCAAACAGACCGTCCACTAAGTACTATCAGAAGTTACTGAATAGCAGATATGGTATAAATGGAAGGTGATTGCTAAAGTCGCTGTCATTGGGCCTTGGTATATACAAGGAGAAGTTTCAAAGTGTCTTCAAGGATGAGTGACTTCCTGAGGGAACACTAAATAGAGGAAACAACGTATAGCAATCTGTTATTCTGTTGACTGGATTTGCATGGAGGCACACTGAAGCTCCAGTCCATCTGTTACAGTGCTCGGTATAAGTAATGAGGACTTTGTACTAGAAGGGTCACAGGTAGAAAGAATTGAACCTTCTGAACCATGGGTAAAGAAGGCAGTGGAAAGACAGGCCTTGAAGAAAGAAGCAGGGAGAAGGCTATTTATTCATCCACAAATGTCTGTTTTCATGAATCTTGTCCTAAATTGATAGGAAGTCTAATTTCTACCAGTCCTTGCCTTTTCTTATAAAATAAATGACAAATTTGATGTAAGGGAAATTAAAATTTGTTTTATGGCACACCACACATTGTGAATCTTAGCACAGCCAGAAAACTTCCACAGAAGCCAGAAGATAGTAGTTTGGTATGGGTAGGCCTGTGGTGTTTAGATTCAAAAATCTAAATAGCCAGAATATAAACTTTGGTTATTATAAAAAGGTAAAACTTTACATTTTATTGCTTTTTTAATAGGCTGGAGTCAAAGGAAAATTAGGCAGACTCCTGGGCATATTTGAGGTGAGTTACCAAAATAATCCCATCTTGCTGATGAAAGAGTTAATTCTGTTTTCTAAGCATCCACACAGTCTGGCAGCAGCCTGATTATAGAAAGATTTCTCTCTTAATTCACTGTATAATGTTTAAGTATATAGATTTTTTAGGAGGTATAATACCTTTGTTGTTGTTGTTATGTGCCATCGAGTCGGCCCCAACTCATAGCGACCCCTCCTTGGGTTTCCGAGGCAGTTATCACTACGGAAGTAGGATTGCCCAACCTTCCTTC